AAAAAAAAAAAAAAAAAATAAAAAATAAAGAAAAGCTACTATCGTCGAATAGATGGTACATGAAGTAAGCCATAGAACGATCTGGACGTGAGTCATAGTCTATCACAGCCTCAAGCCATAATATCAGCAGTCTGATATCAGTACATACTATACGGTATCTTTAACAACTGCTCCGTACCTCTTGGAGTAAATGGACTGCTGACTTTCGCAACCATTAAACCACTGAGGTTAACACTAAGTAACTATAACTCGCAGAAGATGTCTACCGTCGTTGTACAGCGATTGAGGCTACTTACCAGGATCAAATGGAGCTGCCCGATGGGGATATTAGGGCAAGGATGTCGCGGAGGAATTTGTCATGGGTCATTTGACAGAAACCTCGCTTGGGCGTTCCTACCTGGTCAAAATTCCCAAACTGTCTAGCTGCAGGGACTTAACAATTCGTTTATCTTGGACAGGAGTTTATTATATTGGCCATCCCACATCGTCTCCATCACGGCGCGTAGATAAGCTCGGTGGATGGTTCGGGTTCAACCGCGACGATCAACCGGGTGCTTGTTCTCGCGCCAGCCAACGACTTTCTCCCTTTCCCCTCTTTTCACCCCTCCATGGCGGAAGGGATTATGGTTCCGTGTGCAAAGAACTGTGTTGGTGTCTGTGGAGACGTTAGGTAAAGAGACTTCGGTCCCTTGAACACAATGGGCCTCATTTATTAACTCATCTGACACTTCGCCAGTCATACGACGGGATCGCCCTCCACCTTGCCTGGGAGGTGATGTTGCATCGCTTGCGCTCGCGGGGTCGACGCACCTATAAACGGCAAGGAGTTGTACAACATCCTTGCTCCCAAGACATAGCTCTGTTCTGTCCCCTGTCCTCTGTTTGCCCGCCAGTGTGATGTTGGCCATGAAGCGCCACGCCAAGCCAGGACCCACGCCGGCCTACACTGACATCCATGTCGTGGTGGGCGACGGTAGACGCAAGATGACTGCGCCGTAATATTCACCCCTCGTTCGGCCCTATCCTCATGAGCTACGAAGCCGTGTGTTGGACCCGGTTGGCTTCCCTGTCATAATCATGGTCGGCCCAGCTTCCCAGGCCCAGTTACCATTGCCAGTCGTTGTGCTGCTTTCGAAGACCCCTCGGTGACCAAGGGAGATCGGTCAGTCGGTCTTCATCTACTGGTGCTCTGTCAACCTCCACCGGAAGGGGGTAGAGGAGGGGCGGACCAGACTGTCGGGTCCAAGACGCGTCCCCTTAGCCTACTCGCACCAAGTTTGCCTGGGAGCCCGCCCGTTGACAGTCTATCTCTCCGGGAGACCTTTTTCTCTGCCGCCAATTCACAGAGACATGCAGATGCCATTTGACGGGCGGTATGTCGTCGATGGACGTATACTGATATATCATTATCCCATGCAGACTGGTGGTCCCCAATACTTCCACATTTCCCGTCCCCTGCTCCGTTTAGATAGTCCTCGACCCCTCTCGGACGAATTAGTAGACGAGCGACACGCATAGCTTGCCAGCTTCAAGGTATGCGTCACGCACACTTTTGACCTGAAATTTTGTATGCTTTGAGCCACTCGTCATTAGTTGAAGCTCAAACGCTTACCACGCATATGTGGGCAGACTTCATTCTATGAAGAGCCCTTTGGATATCATGACAGGTATTATTCAAAAATTAAGAAGAAAGCGAAAGCTCTCTTCGGAGCTGCATTCGCGCTGGGGAGATGTGGCTATCACGTATCCCAATGCCGGCTCCTGGAGTCAATATGAACAGTCACCTGTTGGAACACCCAATTCGGTACCCGTTAAAATGTTAGACCACTGTCGACGACATGGTTCCCTTGATTCGCTCGATCGCCATGGCCACACATCTACTCTACCTTCGGGAAACTTCAAAGAGCGGACATCGTCCACTGATTCGGCCATGACTATGCCGACGGGACACTACGACTCAAAGCTACGAGGGCGATCGAAGAAAAAGGCGCCCCCTCCAAGTCCTATATTAGGACCTAACGCCCATCCTACAATGAGGGATGGGTTTGACGAATCTTCGACCGATGAGGAAGAGGATTCCATATCCGGCCTTCATAGTCCGAAGGGGCAATATCCACGAGACAGGTCTCGCACGAAATCCCACGAGGAGAGCGGTGCCTATTCGCGCGCGTCCAAATCACCGCCGCTGTCGGTCACATCACGAATGCGCCATTTCAGTTTGCAGAGTGCTACAACCGACCCGACAGCATCTATACCAGCTACATCCAGTTCGAGACATACTAGTTATACGTCGTCTACCCCTTCAGTGCCGTCGGAAGATCCTCGACTGGGACACCGGCCGAGTCCTCGCGATACCAAGCTTATGCATCGGCCGAAGCCTGCACCGGTTGCAGAACAGGAGTTAGTTCCGTCGTACGATGATCTTTACGGATAGTTGATGTTCACTATATTGGATTCGAGATAATGCTTTGAGCTTCCTGTGCAAGAACCCTAATACGTTAAGGTACCATGAGTCATGAAAACCACTGATCTACCGATTGGGATCTTTCTTTGCTTATTTCTTTCATTCTTCGCCTCTCTCTTCCATTTCTTTTTCGGTGCCACCGGCGAGAAAGAACAAACTTGCATTGTGGCGTTACTATCTTATTCGTATTCTCATGTGGGAGGCTTATTTTTTTCCTTTTTTTTTATTATTTTTTTTTTCTTTTTCTTTTTCTCTTTTTTTTCTCTCTTGCTCCATTTAGTCCGGGTTGACCAAGTACTACTAGTAGTCTATGAGTGATTTGATTTACCTTGTGCATGACAGCCAATGATGGCGAATTGCGCTTAACTGATGTTTGGCGCGAAGGCATTTCGACGGAGCGACCACCAACAGTATTTTCGGGGACTAGAAATTTGTACACGATTATTATTTTTCTGTTATTATTATGACATATAGTCACGAATGAATGGCGTTGTATGAACCTTTTGATTTGTTGAACATTATTTGATTTTATTTTAGTTCCCTTTTTTTTTTTTTTTTTTTTTTTTTTTTTTTTTTTTTTTTTTTTTTTTTTTTTTTTTTTTTTTTTTTAATTCTATTTTATTTCGTCCTCTGTTCCATTTCCTGGTTCGGGGAAAAGGCAAACGCAATGCAGGGACTGTGAGTTGCGATTCTTCTAAGCGCCCAGTGCCAAAGAACCTGCAAATGAGCAACACAACAGGTTGAGCATCTCGGAGGGATGTTCCGATGCTCAAAATCGCACTGTGCATCTTCCAAGGAGGAGTTTCACCAATGATAATCGACAGGAAACAAAAAGATGAGGGGTTCTAAGGGAGATCGACGAATGGAAAGCCTCAAGCGCAGAGGCGATGCGACCATCTGCAGAAGCCGTCACAATCACAATCACTCCTCGCCAATCCCTCATCACGCTCATCACACGAACCACCTGTCACTGGGCAAGGATCAACCTTCCATTGCTTGTCCTTTACAGGTACTCTTAGCGCCCAGCTGCACCCTGTATGCTTGTTCAGTCTTGACTAGCTTGACAGCTTCCAAGCACGATGATCGCACCACGAATGCTACTCTGTGCCTTATCAATCCCATGAAGGCACCGGTAAGGCCTCTCTCTCGGCGTCCAGTCACTGTGAAAAACCGCAAGTTCAACCATCTCGTCACCCTCTGCTACCCGCACCGGACAATTGAGGTGCTTCCCCTACCCTTTTCATCCACGCTGGGTCCGCAGTTGTGTTGAGTATTAAATGCCAACACTGCGGACAAGCTTTCCCTCTTGGCTGTCGTAGTGCAGACAGTATCTAGAGACCACTTCCTCCACCAACATGCTCGGCTCCTGGGGCCTAGTTCCGAGATCTACGTCTAAATGGGCGGTAGTCTTAATTCTCCTCTGCCAATTAGTCCCGCTGGCTGTGGCGTTGCGGACAGCGCCAGGATCGCCATGTGCGAGCGTTTGCAATAAGCAATCGACCAACACGACGGGGTCCGAGATTACCTGTCTAGATAGCGATTTCACTGCGACCAGCAAAGGGTCGCAATTCAGGCAGTGTGTCGACTGTCAGTTGCGCAGTACTTACAATGACCCATCTTCTGGGGAGACGGATGTGGACTGGGGGCTTTGTAAGTATACACTGTGTCCGCCTGTTGGTGCTCTCTAACCATCGGAGCTTTGTAGACAATCTTCGTTATACTTTCACCTCCTGTGTCTATGGCTACCCTAAAAGCGTGAGCAATATCTCCACGCAGTGTACAGTGAATTGTCAGCCGTTGGACAGAGCCCTAGAGTTTGATCTGACAGACCCGGGTGCGAACAACTTTTACACCTGGTGTGGCACTTCGTCGTTCGCCGACAATGGCATCACCAAATGCGAAAAGTGCTATAATTTCACCCTCACCCAGACCCAGGATCCGACAAATGGTCAATCGCAGGTCTTTATGGCGAACTGTACGTTAGAACCCCCATCATCCTGAGTAACATGCGTAGCTGACTTGAACCTTTGAAACGCAGTCCTTGAAGCGCTTCGATATAACTGCCATTTTCGAACACCCACGGGCTTCGCATTCCCTATCAACCCAACGAGGATTTTCAGCCAGTCGCTGTTACCATCCTCCACGGTAGACCTTATCAACCCAACCTCGACCGGTGGTCCCGGGGTAAACCTGGCTCTGGTGATCGCACTCCCGGTCCTGGGGTTCGTAATTCTGTTGTGTGCGCTGGCCATATGCTGCTTCTTTTTCATTCGGTGGCGTCGCAGAAAGGCCCGAAAGCATCGACAATCCAGCCACCTCCATGCCCGGTGGAACGATACTGGCATCAGTACCCCGTGGGCGAACTACCACGAGATGTACAGTCCCACCACATATCAGCAGGGTCACGGGCAGCAGCAGGGGTTCAGCTTCGTCGATAACGACGGACAATACCGGGATGTAGGTTATTCCAAGAATCTCACCGAGGTAACTGCGTCCGCGGTCGCAACGCCTCCCCTGAACCTTTCCCCGGACGGAGAGAAACAGAAAAACCCCGAGTACCCTGAGTACTTCGGCCAGGATTCCAAGCAGAAGCGATAATCATGACCAACAATCATAAACTGGTTCATGCATAAGGTCTCCGAGCTGATGAATCATGCATGGTTTCGTGCATGTTAGTTCGTTTTGCATGTCGTTATGTTTCATGAACTCGATGAAGAGAACTGTGCTCATCGCGATATACCCCTTCCATTCCTTGACCATTCAGCGAACATATCCGCCCCATTTTGTAATCTTCCACGATGGAAGTCGACTTCCATCTCATGTCATATATCATAGTCGGAAATACATATCCAAGTCCACAAGCATAAAGAGCAAAAAAAGTAAGCGGAGAAATCTCACAGTCAAAGTAACAGGATTATATACACCAGCTCCCCCGCCCACGCAGAAGATCAAAACGCAGAAGGATGGACGACTCTAAAAATAAACACGGCATAGCGAGGGCCAAGTCACGACGAGATTGGACCGACAGGCGTCTAAAAGTTTCATGTCACTCGGCCAAGCTCCAATCACCACCATGCAGAGCTGGCAAAGATAATAATAGAACTCTGCAGGATTCTTCACAGGTGATATTAGCCGGAGTCTAAGCTGGTTATAGCATTATTCAGAAGGGGCTCGTGGGCAGTTATGAACCTTGAGTTGTACTCTGTCCATAGGACCTGTGCATCGTATCTACTTGGGTGGTGTGGGCGGTTATCAACGTTACTGATCCAATCTATGGAGGGGGGTGGGAAAACATACACTAAACCCGATCAAGCGATAGCATCTAATCGGGCATTTACTTTGGATTGGATCTCCAAATCGCATCCAACAAATACTACTACCACCTCCAACCACACCATTGAAACAGAATCTCAAAGCAACCAATAGCACCCCCCAAAAGGAAAAAAACAGGCAAAATGGCCACCCCAACACATGAACAGCTCAAAACCCTCGAACAATCCCGCCAGCGATTGGTGCAGCTCACGCGCTCCCTGGCGTCCCTTATAGGAAGTCTAAATCAAAGCGATCCTCTGCCATCCTGGTACGTCTATACAGTTCCAGCCAGTCGGTTTCATCGGCCATGCGTCCGATTTTCCGGATAATGGATGAATAGGCAAGGTGATTGTCGCACGAAAGCTAATTTATGTTTGAAAGGTCCTCCCTCCAATCCCAAGCAAGCATCATCTCAAACAACCTCCTCAGCGTCTCCGACCACCTCTCCGACAACCGTGAGCTCCTCACCTCTCTCGTCGCTTACCCGGGCCCCGACTACCCGGGCCGTACGCAGGCCAACACGCTCGAACAGCTTCTGCGGACGAAACTCGACCCCCGCGTCGAGGACTGGGTTGCGCGCGGTCGCAAGGCGGGCGCGTCTGCGCTGGAGGATAAGTCGGGGCTGGCGGAGGCGGAGCTGGCGGAGTTGTGGGATTGGGCGCCTGTGGAGGCGAACGAGGAGGCGAGACGCAGGAACTGGGGTGGGAATTTTACGCTTGAGGAGAGGGAGATGGGGGTGCAGAATGTTGTTACAGGGTTAGCGAGGGTGTTGGAGGATGAGGGGAGTGAGAGTGAGGATGAGGAGGAAGGGGAGGAGGATGAGATGGAGATTGTCGGTGTTAGGAGGCAGTCTGCTGGGGCTGGGTTTGAGTTTGATATTGCGCCTGCACAGCATCACCAGCAGAAGTTTGTGGAGCCTGCGGTGCCGTTGGAGGATATTTTGAGGTTTATGACCACTGGAGCGGAGCCTGGGAAGAGGTAATTTATGGAGGGGTGGTTTGAAAAGTTACGAGGAAATGAGGATAGAACATATCGTGAAGGGAATGTATTACGTTGTATCATTAAAACTGCATACTGAGAAAAGTAATCAATAGCGAACCTAACCACGGCGTCGGGTAGTCGGGGTCTTTCCAGACGGCTTGGGAGAAGGAGATGCGCCCGAGCTCCGTGCAACAGGAGTCCTCTCCACGGGCTTGGGGGCTGCCTTCTTCGCCTTCTTGGGCTTCGCCGGCGCCTTCCAATAGTACACCATTTGCGTTGCCAAAATCACGTTTAGAGTGAAGCCGGCAATGAAGCCATAGAGAATCAGCTTGTCGTCTACCTCTTGGAGGGTGGTGAAGATACGGGACAGAGAGCCGGCAAGATAGTTGAATACCTAAACTCACGTTAGTCAAATTTCCAATCTGGCTAAGAATGAAATAAAGCCGGGTACGTACCGCAAAAGCACTCAACTGTCCAGTGCCTCCCTCACGCCAAATGGTAATGATCTGGGGCAACTTGCTCGCAACGCCCAGGGCACCAGCACCAGCCTGCAAAAGGGACATGGTCTGCACATCCACCAAAGTTTGATCGAACAGCAATGCGTACACGCTGGCCGCAACAACGGCAATGAACGCCGCAGCCGCAGTTGGCCGATCGGCGAAGGTCAACACCAGGACACCCACCACTACATCTTGTACGGCGATCAACGCAGTTTCGCCATAAGTGCTGAAAGGGAACTGATTGCGCACACTGTATGACAGAGTGATGAGCAAGCTAGCGGTTTCGAGAGCGTACGAGACAAAGGACACGCCGGCCGAGGACCGAGATCCGATCAACTTCAGAATCTGGGGAACCTTCACGATAGCGCTGGCACCCACGATGGCAATTCCTAGCGCCTTGGAGATGGCAAGGGATGTACAGGCAGGATCTTTGGTGACATCGAGATCAACCAAGAGAGCGTTGTGGCAGGATGATCCGATTAGCGAAGTGACGGTATCGTGGACCGGTTCCGGCAGCGACGAGACGATCTGGCGGAGGTAAGGTTGGAGAGGGGTGATAATATGTTGTTGGAGGGGTTCCATGATGGAAGCAGCCATCTTGAGGTTAACTGTTGTAAGATATATACGAACAGAAAGGCCCAGGCAAGCTCGGTGAGGTGAGGGTTGTAAGACGGAACTTTTTTTTAAGATGGACTGATTGATAGCTGTCAAGACAACTCGCCAATCTGCGGTTGTGGTTTCTACGGCCGGGCGAAGGAATTATTCTCCGTCGCGATAGGGCACATCGGAATTCTGACCTCGTTCTACGAGGCTCAATGACTGATTAACAGATCCTCTTTCATGTTCTTCTCGCCATGATCCTCCTCCGCTCCTCTTTCCGGAGGCTAGGATCGACTCGGGATCCGTCCCTCGTATGTTCGCGATGTCTCATACGCAACAACCGTCCTCATCCGCCCTCCGCCCTCCGCAGCTTCCTGTCGTCCGCGCGATCGCAGTCAAGTGTTGCAGATGATCAATCCTCTTCCGTTGTCCTCCAGAAGACGTATTTCTCTGCGAATCGAGGCATTGGGAGTACACCGAGCAAGGATGGCATTTCCCCCTCATTATCACCCACCAGTCCCGCGCATGCGAATGCTGCCAATACCCCCAGAAGCGAAGGCGAAGCGGGGTCAGCTTCTACGGAATCAATTGAGTCGGAATTGCCTCATCGTCGAAGGAAACGTCTAAAGGAAGAAGCAGCTGGAAATAATGGAGCAGATCATGTTATCCCGCCAGATGCCTCAGCGCAGTTGTCGCACCTCTCAGCCACTCTCCCCAAAACCTCTATCCGCCGCAAATTAGCCGCCTATCTTGCTCTAACAAAACCTCGTCTTTCCGTGTTGATCGTGCTGTCTACAACATCTGCATATGGCATGTACCCTATCTCGTCTCTCCTTGCTCTTGATCCATCAATGACGCCGCTTCCGACCCTATCAACTTCTACACTTACTCTTCTTTACCTCACGGCGGGAACATTCCTTTCGTCTTGCAGCGCCAATACATTGAATATGATGTTCGAGCCCAAATATGATGCACTTATGTCCCGGACACGCAACAGGCCTATCGTCCGTGGTCTCGTCTCCCGTCGTGCTGCCTTTGTGTTCGCCGTTGCCACAGCTGCCTCGGGTCTCGCTTTGCTATACTTCGGTACCAACCCAACCGTGACTGGTCTGTCGGCTGCGAACATCTTCCTGTACGCCTTCGTTTATACGCCATTGAAGCGTATACATGTAATCAATACCTGGGTCGGCGCTATCGTAGGAGGTATTCCTCCGTTGATGGGATGGGTCGCAGCGGCTGGCCAAACAGCGACAACGGGCCACGACACATGGCGCGACATGCTCTTTAGCAAAGATAGCATTGGTGGTTGGCTGCTCGGAGGGATCTTGTTCGCATGGCAGTTCCCCCATTTCAACGCCCTCTCCCACACCATCCGCGAAGAGTACAAGAGAGCTGGATATAAGATGCTCTGCTGGGTCAACCCCGCTCGCAATGCCCGCGTCGCGCTGCGTTATTCCATTCTGATGTTCCCGATATCCATTGGTCTTTGGTGTGTCGGTGTTGTCGGCCACGGCTTCTTGGTCAGTAGCAGTATCGCAAACGGTTGGCTGGTGAAAGAAGCATACCATTTCTGGCAGCATCAAGGTGCCAATGGCACAGCCCGCGGCCTGTTCTGGGCCAGTATCTGGCAACTTCCCATCCTGCTTGTCGGTGGTCTAGTTACAAAGAAGGGCTTATGGGACGGTGTCTGGAGGAACGCGTTCGGCCAACCCGAAGAAGACGAGGATGATTATCTCTACTATGACGACGAAAGTGAAGATGGAGAGATAGGAAACAAGATCACACCCCAGTCGGCATCTGTCGCTGGTTCCCGCCCTGCCAATGCAGCATAGTTACTAAGTGATATTCCTTCACTGTAGCCTTGCCTTGGTTCTTGTGTATTAGATTGATTCCCTTATTGTACGGTGATGGCGTTTTGTATAACAGACATGGTTGCTCTTGACATCTCCGAACTGTAGGTATATATAACCATGGATTTTCTTCTATATTTGCATTCTTTCATGGATAGCTATTGGCCAGATGACCCAATATGCCAATGCACTACGGGTATTTCAAAAGTTCACTTGAGAAGAGATCGGGTATCATATGTTACATCTATCTATAGTACAGACCCATCGTAAATATACAGCTTGATAGCTAGTCGTAGCCCCGAGACCAAAATCACTCCTTGAGTTGAAGATGGTATGTCTCCAATGCCTCCTTGGTCATAGCGCTAGGTGCCTTAACCATCGGATCTTCACCAACCTTGCCAATCTTCGGGAATGCGATGACGTCTCTCACAGACTCCTTGCCCAGCATCACGGCGACAAGACGGTCGAATCCCAAAGCCAAGCCAGCGTGTGGCGGGCATCCGGCTCGCAGAGCTTCTAACAGATGGGAGAAATCCGCTAACCGCTCGGCGGGCATCTGGAGAATATCTCGGAGAATGAACTCCTGGACTGCAGCGTCGTGGATACGGCGACTGCCACCACCGAGCTCGACACCGTTGACGACGAGGTCATAGTGGTCTGCGACGACCTTCGTGGGGTCTGTTAGGAGGAGGTCGACGTCGGCGGCAGTCTTGGGGGCCGTGAAAGGGTGGTGCGTGGATGAGATTCCGGCTGCGCCGCCTTGGCCGGGCTCCGAGTCACTGGAGGGAGAGAAGAGCGGGAAATCGACTATCCAGCGGAAGTCGAAGCCTGTGGGGGCAGGCTTGAATCCGGAGGTGACAGCTGCGGAGTGGAGGGCGCGGCGGAGGTCACCAATTGGAGTCGAGCCGCTGGAGAAGGGGGCTTTTTCACGGGCTTGGATTACGATGAGGTCGCCGTGGTCGAGCTCGAGTAGCTCTTCTAAGTACTCGGCTGCCTCGAAACCAAAAGGCTGTAAGCCACATAAGGGTTTCTTTGCGTCGTACACGAAAATGCCTGGGCCACCTTCTGGGTTGTTGTTAAAGGGTACTCCAGCTGGAGAGTCAAGGAATTGCGAGATGAATTCGGACATGGCGGCGGGGTCATTGTCGTTGTTTTCGAGTCTGAAGACCTCAACAATAGGGAGGGCTAGAGGTGTGATCTTGCTGACGAGATCCACTGGAAGGAGGTGCTCAATTCGCGAAATCTCCATCCCGAACCGAGTATCAGGCTTGTCGGAACCATAGCGACTCATGGCGTCCTGGTAGGACGTCCTTTGGAAGGGGTCGGATGGTGCAGGGTCTTTCATCAAAGTTGACCACAGCCTGCGTATGATTCCTTCCACGGTCCGCATAACGTCCTCCCCGGTTGCAAAAGACATTTCCATATCGAGCTAGTTATTTGTTAGAAATGCAAACCAAGGATAAATTGATATGGTGCGGAGCGCCATTACCTGCGTAAACTCCGGCTGTCTGTCTGCACGGAGGTCCTCATCACGGAAACAGCGCGCGAACTGGAAATATCTTGGTATCCCACTGGCCATCAAGATCTGCTTATACTGTTGCGGGCTCTGAGGTAAAGCATATGCCAAGCCACGCTTTCTTGTTGGGACAAGAAATTCACGAGCACCTTCAGGTGTCGACTTGAACAGAAGAGGCGTCTCTATTTCCACAAACGGTGGCCGGCACTGTTCTAGCTCTTCCTTGCAGACATTGTGCACCTGAGCGCGGAATCGCAGCGCATCACGCAAATCGCTGTCAGAACGCAGCTGTAGGAATCGCTGCTTCGGGGCAAAAACAGTATCGGACTTCATTATGATATCATTTGGGAAGTCATTTAGTGGCCGAATATCATCAACCTGAATTTCCCAGGGATCGGTCTTCTCCATCTCGGAGCCTTTCGCCTGCTTCGCCTTTACCTTTCCTCGGACAGCAACGGGGCTGTTGGCTCTCACAGCTTTGAGCTTTTCCAATGCGCCATTCTTGGCGAGCGAGACTAGCTGTATGCTATGGCGCATCGTTGGGTCTGTTAAGCGCACGAAGGCAAGCTTCTTGGACAGATCCTTACGAACTCCGAGATAGCCATGGAGTACCACTTCTTCATCCGGGGTAGCCTGGGAGAGAAATGATTCAAAGTCATATGTAGCAGCGGGGAATTCAACTGTATAGCTAATGCATTAGCTTCTCAGATTGCTCGAAGATCAGGATATGACAAGGTATAAGTACCGGCTTGCTTGTATTGTTCTAGGAACTGCGGGTGCTCCACTATAGAATCATGCTGCTCACAAACGACAGACTTTGTATGAAACAGTTTTGGAGAATAAGTACGACCTTGAATACCTGCACTCAATCCTGTTCTACTGCTGCGGAGATAGTTCGAGATCCCGATATAGCTTGAGCAAAGGCGCGGAGGAAGCCGCCCCGCTCTACTCAAGAACATACTTGTGTTAGATACGAAGACTGAGGGAAGGCTGTTCAATTGAGAAGAAACGAAAGATTTTTACAAGTCCAATTGCTAATATTAACCCAAAGGTATCACGAATGAGAAAGATGGGTAGACTCAGAATAATCGCAAGACTGTGGCAGAATCTTTCCGCCCAACCAACAGGGATTAGCGTCAGATGGCCCACTACATAAAAATCTCCGAAATTCCGCGTCCAATTTTCTTTCTCCATCCTTCCAAGTTTTGAATAGGTGAGATATACATTTTACTTCGTTCAGCCTAATGCGCACAATTTGCTAACATACAATAGATGATGAAAGCCTAGCGTGTAATAGTTGATCTATCTCTTCTCATGGAACCTTACGGCTCTCCTTTCGGGGCTTAAGGGCTGTTTGGATCCTGACGGAGGGAGGGTGATAAAGGCGTTCGGCACACCACCTTGTTACTTCGACGGACGCGATGCAGGCATCTCTGATACAATACAATACTTGGCGGTGTTCTACTTGCACGAGCAAGTTATGTGTCAACGACCCTGGAATGGTGCTAGTTCTCGGACAGTGCCTTGATGACAGGGCTCTGCACATCAACGACGTGACATCAGTTTCTTGCATACCTATGCATGATGCGAGTACTTTACAATATAAATGTGTTCAATCCCTAAATCTCCGGCAGTATTGCCAGATGTAATCCGTCTTGAACCAGCCTAACCTTGTAGTCCGTGTAATTTAAACTAAAGACTTGGTAACAAAGTAAGAGATATCTTCTCAGGGCCATTGACTCAAGAGTCAAGACAAGGGCACAGCAATACAACTTATAGATGCGTTATGTAAAACTCAATTGCGAAATTTACGAGCTTGATAGTCTTGACCGTTTAGGAAATAAGCTTCGCATCAAAGATTCTCCGCCGGTTTCTTATCGTCGGAGATCCGATTAAAAGTTACTGGATAACAACCCGGCATCTTCCCATTCTGATTCAATTTCACGGACGGGCAATCGCATGTTTACTTGTGATTGATCGAATTTTGCGATAACCTGGTCCGATGAGACCGAACTTAGGAGCCCTACCTCGCGCGGCGCGCCTTCGCGTCCCAGTTGCTTCCCCGATTCGACAGCCGCTATGCAGCGTTCGTAACTATGTACGCACGGCCGAGACCCTGCAAAAGAGCACATTACAATCCAATGTCGGTCGACCTGAGCCAAGGATCACGGCTAGCGGAGGCGTTGTCGGGCAAACAAGATGGATCACACAGCAGCACATACGGAGGACGAAAGAGGCGGAGAAGGAGTGGGCTGAGTTCGCGGAAGAGATCAAAGCTGGAAAGCGGAAGAACTTTGCACAGCATCTCGAGGAAAGAGGGCTGTTGCATGATGTTGTCGGGTAAGTCATTTTCAGGGGCCATTGGTACTCTCCGGTAAACGCTGGGCGTTGCGACTGACTTGTTCCCGTCCGGGTCTACAGTGAACGGGAGCTTTTACATAAAGTGTTCACGGAGAAGAGGGCAGGGATGTATGCTGGAGTAGACCCTACTGCTCCTTCTTTACACGTCGGCCACATGTTGCCGTTCATGGTCTTGGCCTGGGGTTACGTATGGGGTTTGCCGGTGACATGGGTGGTCAGTATACCTTACTGAGAGTATCTCTCGTGATGTCTGTCTAATGCGGAACAGCTTGGTGGTGCCACATCCCGCGTCGGTGACCCAACAGGACGACTGAAGGGAAGAGAACAAGTCCACAGCTCGGTGCGAAAAGCGAACATGGCTAGCATGCACATGCAGTTGAAGAAGTTAGGCGCAAGCATTGAACAGTACGGCAAGAGACATGGGTACGAGAAGAAATGGGCATGGAAGCGTTCTTTGGTCAATAACAACACATGGTGGAACAAGGTGCCATTCATTGAAGTTCTTCGGGACCTTGGGGCTCACATGCGACTTGGCCCGATGTTAGGCAGAGAGACGTACGTTCTATGCACTCGTTCCCTTTCAGGACACATTGGTTGACATATAATCTAGTGTCAAGAACCGGCTGTCGAAAGGCGATGGCATGTCATTCTCAGAGTTCTCTTATCCTTTGTTGCAGGCATGGGACTGGTGGGTTCTCTTCAAGAACGGTGTTCAGGTCCAAGTGGGAGGCACCGATCAGTATGGAAACATTCTGTTTGGTATGGACTCCGTGAAGGCCATTAGCAAGAACACGGCCATGGAGCAGGAAAGAGACCCTCTGGAAAACGATATAGACAACCCTATTGGGCTTACGACGCCACTGCTAACGGCACCCAATGGTGAAAAGTTTGGAAAGTCTGCCGGCAACGCTATTTGGCTTGACAAGGATATGACCTCCACCTTCGAGCTGTATCAGGTTTGTTCTGTTGTAAGCCCCAATCAAGGCATTTCACTAACCGCTGGCAGTTTTTTGTTCGGACTCCGGATGATGTTGTCGAGCGCTATCTTAAAATGTTTACTTTCCTTCCTCTGCCTGAGATTGCCAAGCTCATGGAAGAGCAAAACAACGACCCGTCCAAACGGGTTGCTCAGCACGCGCTCGCTGCAGAGTTCGTAGAGCTTATTCACGGCAAAGAAGAGGCGGACGCAGTTGCTCTCCAACACCGTCAATTATTCCGCTCACGGTCGTCAACAGCTGAACCTACTCCCTTGCAGAAAAAGTCCAGTCCACCTGCCAGCCATGCCCAATCGCCAACATCGGGTTTCATAAACCCCCAGTCAGGGAACCAGTATGCCCCTCAAACTAATTTCGCAAACATGCCTAGCATCCAGGTTACCCTCCCCGAGTCTCTAGTCTATGGCCAAAACTTCCACAAGATCCTGTGGTCTGCGGGCCTGGTTGCTTCTAAAGGTGAAGGACATCGCATTGTTACGAACAAAGGGGCTTATGTGGGGAGCCGCCCGGGAAACTCTGGTCCAATGTCGGACGACCTGGCCTTTACACCCATTTTAACATGGCCAGCGGAGAAGACCAAAGACTTCATTGTCGATGGTAATATTCTATTTCTCAAGTTGGGTAAGTGGAAGTTCAAGATGGTGAAGATCGTTAGCGATGAGGAGTTCAAACGGCTCGGACTCACTGCCCCTGGTTGGGAATCGGATGAAAGCACTCCTCAGCCCGCTGCGGATAAGTGAAAACAAAGGTCCTGTCCCTTATTGAAGGGGTGGAAAAAAGGGCTGGAGCGAGTAGGATATAACTGCTCCAGGGCCATCCATTATGTATTATATAGACTTGTAGATACGCTGTACGATGTTTAGTTCCTGCCATAACTAGCTGGTAGTACTAATTTGCAAACCCTACTTTATATCTCGTCACCTACCACTCCATTTAATTCACACGTGTCTATTTTGGATGCATGAATTGTTTTCTAGAATCAAATCTTCCTATGGTTTGAATGCACGCATCGCATGACTGCCGTTTGTTGAAGTAAATGTATCCGGCATACCTCTTCTTAGTTAATCGTATGCAACAGGTTTCGGAATTCTTCCGTGTTTGAAGTAATTATTATATCTCCTAAAATTTCCGCAATTCAAGCATATTTGCCTCCTAGCTTGTGTGTCCCTGGTTAAGTAGTGTACAGATGTGGCAGATTGCACGTCCATCTAGTAGACCCAAGGCAGGATTCTCCACTTCACAATCCTCCTGTATTCCTCCCAGTCTTCTCCATATTTCTTCGCGCACATAGCATCATCTCTCCGTTCGCGGTGCATCAAAAGGATGGCAAAGTAAAGGACATAAAAGTAGGTGAAAATGGCTCCCCAGCCCTTGGCCTCGCTCTGAACAACCTCCCGCCCATCAAGCATCTTGAAGTCCGTTGATAAGGCTGCTGCGCTGCCAGCCGACAGAATGGTATAGCCTGCCAGTCCTGTCGGTAAGCTAAAAGGCAAGGCTTGCAGCCAGTCCCCGAAGTAATTGATATGGCGAGACATGCCCCACCATCCTGCCGTCAACAGTCTTGTTCCCCGTTTGGTTTGAATGTACGACAAATTCGCCACACTTGGATCGCTAGGCTGTGTACGGAAAACGTTTTTCTGCGTGTTGGCCGCGCGGAAAACGTACAGCCCGAGTGCGAAGACCGCACTTACGGCGGCGATACCTGTCCATCCAAGGTGCAAGGGATAGACAGAGAGGTATCGGCACTGGGTTGAGTAGAGAAAGGGTACCCATACGAGATCTCCGAAAGACAACATGAACCCGAAGCCATCCGTGGTGATGTCAATCATAGTAAGAATACCGGATTCATTATACTGACCGTCAAGAACGTAGAATGCTTGTACGGAAGCAGTGAAGAGGATGCTATCGGAGAGGAAGCCATAGGTACGGTATTGCTTGGCAATAAATGCTAAATTGAGCAAGATCCATCCAGTCAGGCCGGGGCGCATCTCGCACCAGGTTTTGATGTCGACTTCGCCGACGAGTGGGAGAGTCACACGAGGGTTCAGCTCACGACCGATATAGAAATCGTATACAAAGTTGCCGGTGTTTCCACCAGCAGCTAGCTCACGGAGCTCCTTGTTTGGGTACTTGGTGTCCACGCTGAAGCTGTTAACGTATACAAACGCGGAAAGGGCATATGCTATCAGAATGTTGGCGGTCAATATCTGTACATAGTTGTCCGCGATGTACGTCCAGACAACAAAGTCTGCACCCTTTAGATATGTTCCAATGGCGCAGACAGCTAGCTGAACAATGGTAGACGAGAAGGCTTAATAGCAATGTCAGCAAAGGTTGGCGTCGAGTTGCATTTCACATACAGTTAAAACGGTACGTCAACGGACGACCATGCTGGACCAACTTGGTGCCACGTACTTCTTCCGCGGGGAGAATCTTCCAGAGGACCATGCTGAGGAGGTAATATGCAAGCACCATGCCGGTCACCTCCCAACTGCCAAACTCCCAGATGCCTCCATGAGGCCATCCAATCTCGGTTTTTAGCCTCTCCCAGCTTAAGGTACTAGGGCTTAGCAGTGATGGTGCGGGACAGCCAGTTACATCGTTGCATGCAAAGGCGAAGACGCAGAGCAGAATGGGTAGGCCCACCACGATGGCACCAGCGCCCAAACTAGGAGTAAGTCAGCGAGGCACATCGGTAATACACCAGGGTTGAACTCACGGGCCACCAAACTCATACTTTGATTCAGTATGAGAGGGCATATTGTTAACATTTGTCTGCTGAGTGGAATGACAATTGGAAGCCATCTTATTTGTTCAAGCCTTTTAAGGGGGCGGGTATTAGGGCTCCAGACCATGCGCATCACTCCGGATCTACCGTTTCCGCCACACCCTCAGGCAAGCTACGTCTACGACCCTTGATGCCTGAGGCGCTGACGGAATGAAGACCGGAGAACCACTAAACGCGTCGACGCGCGACGCCCTTCGACGGATTGATAGATCGACTTTCCGCCCGGCAGGAAAGCACCTGCATTTGTCGCAAGAGCGTCACATTGTCCTTACCCCTATCTGTCCGAGTCGAATAGGTTCCCAGTCTCTACGACATGCTCTAATAGAGTTTCAAAGTTCTATCTTTACCACCATCAATTCAGAATGGCAAAAGCACCGCCCGCATCCTCATCCCCGGCTGCAACGCCTCCCTCTGGAGTGCTTAAACGAACTACTTCTAGCACTCAGAACATGAAAAATCAGAAGTCAATTCTAGGTTTCTTTCAAAAGTCATCACCATCGACTCCATCTACTGCTCGCAATGCTGAACCAGCTTCGTCGCCTGCTCAGAGGGTATCGGAGCAGCGCGGGGCTGCCAGAGGTTCCGTGAAGAGCGACAAGAAGAAGAGTCTCCCACAGCTCGCGGACCTTAGCCCAGTGCCGAGTAGTGATCTAGTTGAGCCTGAGGAGGATGAAAGCCATATTCAGGTACGATTAGCGCTTTGACACGATCTCATGTTTGACGCCGATGGAGCTTCGCTCACTGGATTGACAGGCGACTTCCAATGATACAAAGACCGTTTCACCATCTCGACGGGTAAGATACCATGTCCTTAGGACTTTTGTTTCATAACGTATGCTAATTACCAATAGTCTAAAAAACAGGTCAACTACGTCGAGTCCGATTCGGAAGGCGAGGATGACGACGAAAAGATATTCCGCCCGGGCCGGAAAAGCAGTCAAGTATCTAAGCGAAGAAAGCTATCTCCCGAGAGCGACGATGAATTTGAACAGCTTGAAGATGATGCGGGCTACTCGGATGAAGGTTAGTTGATCTCAGACGCCCCCATTGCAGTTGGAGAGGCATTGACTGTTTCAGATATGGATGATTTTATCGTCGCGGATGACTCAGATGAGGACGTGAAGGCTTCGAAGAAGCGCAAGAGGCCAACTCAAACAAAGCCCAAGTCTTCATCTGTCCCTCCAGTACCATCTTTGGAGGAAGATCTGGACTTGGACATTCCGGATGCGTCTTCTGGCTCAGCGATGAAATGGACGTACGATCCGGACAGTGCTGAGCCTCGCCAGAGCCGAACAGCCTCTGTGAAGTCGAAGAGCCCATCTAGTGCAATCAAACAGAAAGCTCATGTTACAGAGCCAGAGCAACGCTATGCCTGGCTGGCAAATATTCGGGATATAGATGGTCATTCCCCGGGCCACCCTGACTACGACCCTCGTACCATCTATATACCTCCACTGGCTTGGGCCAAATTTTCACCCTTCGAAAAACAGTACTGGGAGATCAAGCAGAAGTTCTGGGATACGGTCGTGTTTTTCAAGAAGGGAAAGTTTTACGAACTTTATGAAAATGATGCCACCATTGGACACCAGTTATTCGACCTCAAACTTACGGATCGCGTCAACATGCGCATGGTCGGTGTTCCTGAAATGAGTTTGGATCACTGGGCCAATCAGTTTGTCGCCAAAGGATACAAGATTGCTCGCGTCGACCAGATAGAATCCGCCCTTGGCAAGGAAATGCGCGAGAGAGATGGCAAGAAAGGGGGCAAAGAAGACAAGGTCATCAGGAGAGAGCTGGCTTCTGTCCTTACTGCTGGAACTCTGGTTGAGGGCTCAATGCTGCAGGATGATATGTCTACTTACTGCGTTGCTATTAAAGAAGCCATCATAGAGGATTCTCCTGCATTTGGGCTAGCTTTCGTTGACACTGCGACAGGCCAATTCTTCCTGTCAGAGTTCGTCGATGATGCCGACATGACAAAGTTTGAAACGTTCGTTGCCCAGACTCGCCCCCAAGAACTACTCCTCGAAAAGTCTACAATTTCACAAAAAGCACTCCGCATTTTGAAGAATAACACAGGCCCCACCACCATTTGGAACCACTTGAAGCCTGGGAAAGAGTTCTGGGAAGCGGACATTACGGTGAAGGAATTAGATGTCAGCGAGTACTTTGTTTCCGAGGACGATGACAACCTGAAGGCATGGCCGGAAGCTCTTCGAGCCGCTCGGGATAAAGAACTAGTGATGTCGGCCTTTGGGGCGTTGGTACAGTATCTCCGGCTTTTGAAACTTGACCGTGACTTGATAACAATCGGCAACTTCTCCTCATACGATCCTATCAAGAAGGCTTCTAGCCTAGTGTTGGATGGCCAGACCCTTATCAACATGGAAATCTTTGCGAACTCATTTGATGGAGGCTCTGATGGGACGCTATTCCAGCTTTTGAATCGCTGCATCACCCCATTTGGCAAGCGCATGTTCAAACAGTGGGTTTGCCACCCGCTGATAGATGCGAAGAAGATCAATGCCAGATTGGATGCTGTTGATGCCCTTAATGCGGATCCTAGCATCCGGGACCAGTTTTCTTCACAATTAACCAAGATGCCTGATTTGGAACGACTGATCTCCCGGATTCATGCTGCTAACTGCAAGGCTCAGGACTTCCTGCGCGTGCTGGAGGGCTTCGAGCAAATTGAATACACCGTGAGTCTTCTCAAGGACAGTGGTTCCGGAGAAGGCGTTATTGGCCAGCTGATAAGTGCGATGCCGGATCTGAATGAGTTGCTTGAATACTGGAAAACAGCATTCGACCACACCAAAGCAAGGGAGAATGGCATTCTAGTACCTAAACGAGGCGTTGAAGAAGACTTCGACAACTCCCAAGACTGCATCGAAGAACTCCACAACGAGCTTGATAGTCTTCTGAAGCGAGTTCGTCGTGAGTTAGGCTCTACTGCCATTTGCTACCGTGACAACGGCAAGGAGATCTACCAATTGGAGGTGCCGATCAAGGTAAAGAACATCCCCAAGAACTGGGACCAGATGTCAGCAACTAAGCAAGTGAAACGGTATTATTTCCCTGAACTTCGGACGATCATCCGTAAGTTACAGGAAGCCCAAGAGACGCATAGTCAGATTGTGAAAGAAGTCGCTGGCCGATTCTATGCCCGGTTTGATGAACACTATGCAACATGGCTGGCAGCAGTCAAGATTATCTCGCAGCTGGACTGCTTGATAAGTCTTGCGAAGGCCTCCTCATCTCTGGGACAACCAAGTTGCCGCCCCGTGTTTGTTGAGGATAAGCGAAGTGTACTCGAATTTGAGGAGCTACGCCATCCTTGCCTCCTCTCCTCTGTCGAAGACTTCATACCAAACGACGTCAAATTGGGAGGCGATTGTGCTAACATTGATCTTCTCACCGGTGCTAATGCTGCCGGAAAGTCTACTGTACTTCGGATGGTACGTTATTCTTTCTGATCTTTACTGGAATTCGCTGACTCGTTACCTTGCAGACGTGTGTCGCCGTTATTATGGCTCAGATCGGTTGCTACTTGCCTTGCCAATCTGCGCGATTGACCCCGGTCGACCGCATCATGTCGCGTCTAGGCGCGAATGACAATATTTTCGCTGCCCAGTCGACGTTCTTCGTAGAGCTTTCCGAAACGAAGAAGATCCTCTCCGAAGCGACTCCCCGATCTTTGGTTATCCTGGATGAATTGGGTCGTGGAACCAGCTCATACGACGGAGTAGCCGTGGCCCAAGCCGTACTGCACCATGTTGCTACGCACATCGGAGCTTTGGGATTCTTCGCTACCCACTACCACTCCCTGGCAGCTGAGTTTGAAGGACATCCCGAGATCACACCGAAACGCATGAAGATCCATGTAGACGACGAAGAGCGACGTGTCACGTTCCTGTATAAACTGGAAGATGGTGTGGCCGAAGGTAGTTTCGGTATGCATTGTGCCGCTATGTGCGGAATTTCCAGCAAGGTCATTGAGAGAGCGGAGGTTGCCGCGAAACAATGGGAACACACAAGTCGTCTCAAAGAGAGCCTTGAACGACGGAAAGGTGGTGGTTTCATTGGATTGGGTTGGTGGAGCGATGTCGCCTGGGCCCTGCGCGAATCCTCCGACGCCAATGAGCACGAAATCACCGACAGAGGCCTGGACGTACTCCTTAAGGCCATTGAAGCTCTATGATTTATGTTTGCTACCTTATATTCTGGGTTTCACTCATTCAGTGTTTGATCGAGTCAGCCACGGCATGTTCTTTATAAATTGGGGGTATCTGGCCGGAGTTCGGGGTTGTGTTATAATGTGTTGATCGGGATCTTAATTGAGTAGAGTGGTTATATAGGGAATACTAAATTCAAGACAACTTCTTTGTTATTTACAATGACCTTTGAGTATACCTCCTAAGAAGGACAGTTGTCTCTTCTCTGCTTTGTTCTCCATTGTTCTCCATCTCTCACTACATTTCGACCACCGAATGCAGATCCCTTGTAAAAGTTTGCTGATTCTTGACACTATACATACAGTATCCATAGCACTAAAATGCAGGAACGGAGTTTTTTTTGTTTTGAATTTTATGAACAAAGTAACGCAGTGTAGATAGACCACCAGATACCAGATCCTTAGATCTTCCTATCCTGAGCAACACCAATCCAAATTCTCGCTACCCATTTCACCGAATAGTAGCCTATTGCCGATGAGAAAAGAAACAAAAGATAACTAGATAACCCCGTCGTCCTTCATGGGACCCGTCATAGCAAGATACCAAGAAGACAACCTAAGCACCACCCTCAGTCTCAGTCTTGATACCAGCCTCGTACATCGCGTCGAGCTGAGCATCGAGCTCCTCATTGGTCATGGGGGTCTCGTCCTCGGTCTTGCATTCGTCGTAAACGCCCTCCGGTTCCTGCTTAATAGCCTCCACCTCCTCCTTGATCGAACCCTCTTCTTTACCGGAACATTCCTCCTCGATAGTACTGTCCTCAGATTTGATGCTACCCGTGGGTTTAGCCTTGGAGGGACTGGGATCAGACTTAATGACGTCTTCACTGCTGCGATTGATTTCGCCTCTTGATTAGCGGTGTTCACTTTGACTTCTCGTGCGCAACAGGGTAGGGGCATATTCATACGAGTCTTTCTTGATCACCTGTGCGATGCCTTTCTTTGTGGTACGGGGGCGCTTCGCTTTAGGCGCTGGTGCTGCTTCTTCCTCCGCGGGCTCTGAGTCGGCAGCCATTAGGGTTTCCGCGGCCGCGGCCTTCTTGGGAGGTCGGCCCCTCTTGGGGGTATTGGCTGCAGAGGCCTCGGCGGAGGTGAGTGGCTCTGGCTTGTAGTCGCTCAGCTTGCGCTTTGCGTTGCGGAATGTTGTACTAGCTGAAGCTGGGTTCTTGTACCCGCCGTACTGGGCTAGTTTGTCGAAGTCAAGCTCGAGTTCCAGTCAGTTTAGTGTTTTGGTTTTGGTCTTGGAGGGAGAGGAGGGTATACATACTTTGTTACTTTCGTCGGTGCAGAGGATGCTCAGGAGGAGGATCTTCTGCTCGGAATTGGTGAGACCCAGGAGAGTGTCGGACTTGACTTTGTTGGACATATTGGCGGTTCCAACGTAGATGGTTGATGCTTGGGTGCAGGTGAATGGTGAAAATAGGTGATGGTAGAATGTTGAGAGAAGAAGTGTAGAGTCGATGGAGCTGGGGGTAGGAAAAGTGAGAGGTAGGGGAGATTAACAGAGTGAGGAGATGGGAGATTGTAAAGTGAGGAGAGACAAGATTACCAACGAGAAACACGGGGAAAAGAGAAACACTGTCCTCGTGGAAGGAAGAGAGAAAGTCACAGCAAAAATGGGCAGAATGTTTCTGGAAGAAGTGCAGCAGGAGTGAATGGTTAGAAGTGAATGCGAAGACTTATTCTTTAGCGAGAGCAGCAGTAGTGAATTGTTCAGTCACCACCCAAATCTTAGCGGTTCATGATCTTTATGTTACAGTCATATTAAAACAGGATATTTTCTTCAGCCTCATTTCCTTGGTAAGGGATTCTTCTGGATCTGCTTGTATACATGTTCCCACAATTCGGGATAGAATGTCGTTGATTCTCTGCCAGGCTGACTCTTCTCTGCCGCGTAAAATTGCCGTAGAGTCTTTCCTGCCCACCAGGGCAAGGGGGCAGGGTTCTTATTGCGAAAGCTCACTGGACGGAGGATGGCTTTGTCAGGAACCAAATCCCCCAGTCGCACCTCGGTCTGTCGAGGAATCGTCGTGAACTTCATGGTGTTAATGTATAATGTGGCTGTAGGAGGCAGGTTCTTCGCATATTGAAGCGTATGTTCCTTTGAACGCCGAGCAAAAGCAGGGAGAGCGAGGTGTACGAAATTCACGAATGGAGCAGAGGTATAGGAAACGAAAAGCATCGGGAGAGCTCCGCCAACAACAACTGTGCATGTTTAGCTAACGAACCGTCAGGGCAGAGAATCAATCTTACCAGCAGGAGCTAGATACCATGGAAACTCATCGGCCGCAAATGCGGGTGCGACAACCAGGACAGACACACCAAAAAGGAAGATGGTCGTGATCCGCAACATCCCCAGAAAGATTGTCTTGCCCGTTCCGCCATGGTAGATCAATATGCGCTCCGGGGGACCTGTAGTACTCCGTCAGGACCAATGTTTCAATTGCAATTTGCCACAAAAAGCATACCTCGTCGAATAGTCGTCTTTGCGTGTGTCGTGGCCGACTGTGGTGAGCTCCGGGTAGCTGTCGCATTGTTTTCCTTTGACTTCAGAGTCGGGGTCTCATTTTTGGAGAGTCGAAACGGGGGTTGAGTCGTCTTCAGCCGAGAGAATATCGTGCTGTTAAGATCCCTCCGCACACCACGGGGAAGCAACGTGCGCAATTGCGGATGCAATAAGATCTGAGGCCTCATCGTGAACAATTGCATTGAGCGAGAAGAGTTGTCGCATTCGAAAAAGATGACGGAATGCGGATGATCTCCGGAACGTGACTCGCGGCGGCCTTGGCGCCGATCAGTGTTGACGACAGGCCAGCTTTTCTGTCTACGGCGCAGTGCAACTTTAAATATCCCTGTCTTTCCCCCAAGCTGTCGTTTATGCTCGCTCCTTTGTTGTGGATCTGTTTGGATTCGGGCTTCTCTGCGGTCGTCGCTGGGACAGGGATCGTGACCCCTGCTAGCACTCAGACCTCACCATGTCTCCTGCTAACGGTGGCCTTTTCCGCCCATTGCTTACGATAGGCATTGCACTCTTGTACTTCTTGCTTGCCGGCCAAGCCTACGAGGAAATCTCCGATAACACACTCAATGCCCTTCCACGTCCGAACAATGACTTCGACATCGATAATGGAGCGCTATTAGCGCCTATCCTAATACCCCGTGTCTCCGGGACAGCGGGCTCTGCGGCTGTTCTCCAGCACTTTGCGGACTTCTTCCGCACGACCCTCCCAAGCTGGAATATCCAATTTCAGAACTCCACATCGACAACGCCTGTATCGAAAGGAAAGGAAGTTCCCTTCGTCAATCTCATTGCGTCTCGTGACCCTCCGTGGGCAGCCCCAGGCGACGTTGGAAGGCTTACGCTCGTTGCGCATTATGATAGTAAATACTCGCCGGAGGGTTTTATCGGGGCAATTGACAGCGCCGCCCCTTGCGCAATGATTATGCACTCCATGAGGAGTATTGATGCGGCCTTAACAAAGAAGTGGGAGAAGATGGAAACAGAGGGCCACACTGACTCGTCGTTGGAGGAGCAAAAAGGCATCCAGGTCATCTTCTTGGATGGAGAGGAGGCATTTAAAGTATGGACCGCAACTGACTCGTTGTACGGGGCGCGTTCGCTCGCGGAACATTGGGATTCAGAGGTCAACGCTGCTATGTCGATCTACAAGACCCCTCTGTCTTCTATATCTCTATTCGTTCTTTTAGATCTCCTCGGCTCGAAGAGTCCAACTATCCAGTCCTATTTCTCAACTACACATTGGGCATATAAGAAGCTTGCTCAACTCGAGAAGCGATTTCGAGACCTGAAACAGTTCAAGTCTTCTGTTGATTCATCTCATCCAGCATGGTTCATTGATAAGTCCAAGTCGGAGCATGACATTACCACTTTTCTCGGCATACAGGATGACCATCTGCCGTTCCTGGAACGTGGTGTTGAAATTCTGCATCTCATCGACGCTCATCCCGCCAAGGGATTTCCAGTGGTGTGGCATAATGAGAAGGGCGTACCGGATAATGGCGAACATCTGGATCTAGCAACTGTGGAAGACTGGAGCATGCTAATTACAGCATTCGCGGCCGAGTGGATGGAATTGGAGGGTTTCATGCCCCAACCCAGCGGTGAAGCGACGCCCGCAAAGAACGTTGAACGTTTGAACAAGAAAACCGAGCTGTAAGATATACCAAGATTAATTCCAAGTGGTTTATATACTGCCTTCCCAGGCCCTAATATGTACAGTCTATGATACATATGTTGCACTTCTAGCTCTATATCATGATGAATCGTGCTGATGTTCGTGTCGCATAGCTCTTAATGGCGATTTCCCTGCCGGGATCCTTTCGCCCGGTCTCTGAGGGACCAACCTGACACATCTTTCGCCGTCATCTGTAGAAATTCTTAACAAATGGAAACGGCTTCACGCCATCTATACCAGGTTTCCTAACATGTACCCAGTCATTTCGACAAGGCCCCATGCCGGCTGCAGGGCTGCACGAAGCACCGCGGGACCCGGACACACTCCCCGTAGCCCCCAAGCAACCCCAAAGGCCACTGCACCGGCGACAAACCTCCAATCAATGTCCGCCACCGTGGCTGTTGGGAGTCTCCAACCATCTGCCAATGTGGGCTTTGCCCGTTCGCCATCCGGACTGTCGAGCTTCTGTCCCGGCTTCGCGGTCAAAAAAGTAATGAGCGACGGCCCGATTCCAAAGAGAATTATAAGCGCCAGCGAAGGATCGAAACGGGCTAAATCGGTTGGAAAGGCGAAGAAACGCAAAACCTTCGCTGGGTTTGCCATTCCGGAGAAGAAGAGACCCATGCCGAATTGCAGCCCTGCCAGATAAGAGAAGAGCGTTCTCGAGTTCTCTGATCTATCCATTCTCCGGGGCACAATGAACCAGTTGGTGATGAATGTGAGAGCGGCCGTCCCGATCATGAACATGAGCTCCGCTGTTGACGGATATACGGGAGTGTAACAGGGCACTCCGGACGCACAAGGCGGGATGTTCTGACCCCCCGAGGCCAAATTTGCCGTTAGCAGAGCGGTTGTGAAGAAGATAGCTGTTGCGATGAAGGAGCGCGGCGATAGGCGGGAGACACCACAGAGCATGTGGCCAGATGTACAGCCTCGACCATTCTAGTTCGTGTCCTCTGTTAGCTTGCCTTCTGCATCCAAAGTCATATCTTCATACCTTTGTCCCCCAGCCCAGCAAGAAACCCGTCGCGAGCGTAGACGCCACCGATGCCCAGGAGTTCGGCCCCGGCGGATACAGCGGTATCAACGAAGGCACGAACAGGTAAACCGGGATGACACTAGACAACAACCCAGCAATGACGGGAACGTTATCTCTCGTGGGATGCAAAACCGACCCCGACAGAAGCGACGAAATGCCAAAAACCGCGCCATTATGAAGAAGAAGACCCGAGGAACTCTGAAAGAGCAGCAGCGCGCCCAGGGACGTATGTACGGGTGTAAACATGGCCGCAAAGCAAGAATCACCAACAATGGTATTGTACGATATCCAACTTCTTCAAGACAAACATATAAGGTTCACGGTAGATTCGCAGCGCTAGCCCAAGAATTGAATGCTAGGAATCCATTTCGCACACCTAGCACAACCTCCCAAGATAAAGAAAATAAGATATCACCAGACAAGCAGGATCCTAACAAACAACTTCCCATCGGGAACAAAGAATTTCGCTCCTCTGACTCGGGGACCACCGCGATCCATCCCTCTACTGCCATTGCGTCAACCTTTCCCTTGTGGTCCCCGAGAGCAAGGGAAAAAAAAAAAAAATCAAAAATAAGAAAACCAAAAGTTTAACCGTAGGTTCCATAAGTAATATCCCCCGAGGGATTCCAACAACAAAAAAGAAACATTCCTCATGCTCAAGGACCTTGTTCTCACATCCCGGAGGGCACACATACTACACCATCGCCAGAAGGGTGCGATAAGTAGACTAGTAGTAGTCCAACGGTAGTACTTTTGTTCCGTCCCTGCAGGAATCTTTGTCTTTTGACAGGTTCGCTCCCGTGGTCACGTCTTGAAGGGGATAAGTTGCACGTCCGCATTCGGTATCGGGTGGTCCCCGAACGGGCTTAGGATCGGCGCTACCGGTCGCCTGATTCGGGCGAGAATCAAACGCATCATAACGGCCTTTCCATGGTCTGGGCCAATGAGACCGTGGGGTTCTGAAATCGCGCTGTAATGATGTATTGGCGACGCGGATATGGAATCCGGGGTCGGCGACTCACTCATACTCATGGATGAAGGGCTTTGATAATATACGGCGACTGGGCGTATCGGCCGGGATGGGGTCGCCGATGTCTGGTCTTTGTTCTGCATGAATGTGGATTTTGATCGCGGCGAACGCGTGGTCTGGACTGTTTCTTTTCTTACTGCCGATTGACCGTCCCTTGCATTTGAAGTGCCGTGGTCCAGGGAGTGAAGTTTATTGTCACGGAATATTGACAGTGGAATCTATGGTGTTGGTTCTGGTGGGCCTCGTGCTTATATGTTGGCAGATGGGATGGTGTAGGAATGTGTGGGAGGAGTGGTTGTATCTATTTCATGATACTACAGTTTTAAAGGGTCTGTATATATATACTTACAGGCTGTATCATGATGCATTTCTTTAAGCCTTGTGATGTCATACCTAGTCTAACAGACAATCTGTTGAACAGTCCAAACAGTCCAATATGCAGACCGGCAGTAGTTCGATGTGCTTTGCAGTTGGGATGTATTGATTGATACAGCATGAGAGCGTTATAAGAAAAGGAAAAGAGAACATTAATAACAACGATAATAGTCATAATGGTATGGAAAGGTGTAGTTGTGAAAGGACAGTCAGACTGAGACAGAAGCAAAACATTTTCTGTACGTAAACCATTTTCCGAATAAAATGATAATATCACGGATAATGTTCATACAGTGTACCTCTGTACAATTTCTTAGCATCCACACAAGTATAGCTTTCCCCTCACAGCCGTAACTTAATGGTAGTTGGAGCCAGGGACGGCGCATACTGGTCCCCCCATTCGATGACCGACTTGACCAACGCTTCAATCTGGTCGACTGTATTTTCAACGTGCATCATGACTCGAACCCGCTCCTTCGCCATAGGCACAACGGGGTACCGCACTCCATGCGTGTGCATGCCGCGGTCTAGGAGCCATTTTTCGAGTTTGTGGCTATAGCCTGGCTGTGTGATGATGGGGATGATGGGTACAAGAAATGAAGAACCCTTGACAAAATGTTCAGTGGTGGGAATGCTCAGGATTCCGGATCGTCGAACATGTTCCCACTGAGGATGGTGGAAGAGGAGGTCATAGAAGTGGTAGATCCGGTCTTGAAGTTGCTTTCGACGCTAATAATGTTACTGTGTATTAGCTTTGGGAAACTCCACCAGCTGTGTGGAGAATGCAAGCTTACCCAGTCACCCTCCTCGCTGACCATGACATTGACCGCAGCCTTGATGGTGGCAAAGAAAGTGAAGGCCGGAGCCGTGGTGAACATGAAGTTCCGCGCATGGCTAACCAGATATCGTTTAATCAGGCCGTCACAGAGAATAATACCTATGATTGGTTAGTCGGAGGTTGGCACAGCATAAAAGTACCGGGGATGTGGAGGAAGCCTACCACCACCCGCTCCGACGGCCTTGCCGAATGTGTGTAACCTGACAGCAAACTCGTGCTCTAGACCCAGCTGACAGGCTAGACCAGCTCCACTTGGCCCGACAATACCGTGGGAGTGAGCCTCGTCCAGGATCATAACAAGATTACCTTTCGGCAAGGCCCGTTTCGCTTCGTTTACGATCTCAGCCACGGGCGCCACGTCCCCGTCCATGCTGTAGATTGATTCAATCGTCACGAAGACGGTATTAAGTCCATCGGCAATTGCTGGCTCCAGTAACTTGACTTCTTCGAGCACGTCGTACAAGGACTGTGGGTCGTTGTGTGCAAATGGTCGGATGATGTGTGCTTTTGACGAACGCATGCCATCCCGCGTGCTGGCATGGATCTTTGCGTCGTGAATAATGGCATCTCCCGTCTGCGGAAGAGTCGCATGAATAGCAACATTGCCTTCATATCCGGAGGGCAAAATCAAGCCCTCGTCGGCATTATAGAAATGGGCCAAATCTCGTTCGAGCTCGTCGATATAGTGTGTGGTTCCACCCAAAAGGCGACTGCCACCGGTTCCGATAGCAAAGTTGGGATTCCGTGCAAGCTCTCGGAGAAACTCCTCTCGCGTGGCTGCACTCCCGCCAAGGGAAAGGGTGTTATTTGAGCCGAAATCAACACAGCCAAGCTCATCAGCTGGAGCTGTAAGCTTGAAGACCTGGCCTTTCTGGCGGCTGGGATCTAGAGCCGCTTCAAGGTTCTCGCGGTATGCAGACGGAAGGGCCATTGTGGGCTTGGAGACTTTTTCTAATATGATGTGTCTCTAAATGGTAAGAGATCGTCTTCAGAAAGAATGTGCCATAAACAGAACTGGAGTGAAAAATAGAAGCAACTTGAAACGGGGAACAAACAGGCACCAGGCTATGCTTTATAGCTCCTTTGGAGGCCGCCACAGTTGGGACTGGATTGTGGCCTCGGCATGCATTGTCGTACAGAATTCTGCGTGTAGTTGGATACACTTTCCAGCACCCACCCTGAAAACGAGGGTATTGTCCCTAAAGCGATGGCTCCGCGGAACTACGGCTCCTGAGGCCAATCTTTGCCTTGCTAGAACCACAGTATAACTCATTGCCACATTCATGGGAGCAATGGAACAGTCCAGCTGAGCGAGACGAAAGTTAGTCTGGTCTTGTACCCCATTCGAGATGGGCACAAATCCCGGTACAAAGGGTCCACCAGCGCTGGGACATACACGATCCATCTAGTGAAACCTTTTCAGTCTTTCCATGACGCATTCGTCCAAGCCAGGTCATAGGAAACTTGGTTTGACCGGGGCCAAAGTGCGTGTCACTGGAAAAACCGAAGTTTTGGCGAATTCTGTACCGTCTTTTCCTCCACTAAGCAAGGAGCCAATAACTCTATCATGGAGGCCACATGAAAAACTAATACAGACCGTATCAACTTCCAGTTATGGAAGTAACTCGGTCATTGTGTGATGTCAAATGACCATTGTTGACAGTGCACCGGGGTCCGGCGGGAATATAAAAAAGTAAACCAGATACACCTGAAGCAACACAACAGTCATTGGTTAACCATACATCATATAATGGTGGCATATGACCGTAGAAGGACACTTTAGGATCATGGTTCATAAAATTTGGAGATCGCCATTCGGCACTGCACATCAATAGACTTACACTGTTCAGTTGGCAGCCGTGATAGGCCACCTGCAGATAGCCAATTTTAGGACCGAGCCACTATTCTGGGATCCTATGCTTTGGTGTCTAGGGCGCGTTGGAAGAATGTCCCCACCTGGTCCCCTGGTACACCAACTTATACAGGCGTTGCCTTCTCGGCCATTGCGATTGTGGCCACCAAGGAAGAACGGGAGGCGGATTCAATTCCCCGTAGGCACCGAACTATCTCAGGTCTAGACACCTTCTCCTGCACTGACCACACCCCCACTGAGGAAGGCTCCGCTGGCCCTGTCATGTTATTGCCTCTAGATCCCAATATCCATGTAGGTAACTAGCGCGAGCTCCGCCCGGTGTCACCGACGGGCTCGGGCGAAGTATTTTGATCCAGGTAGCACCAATTGGCGCCGTTCCAATTGCGTTACATGGGCTTGGACTTCATCCAACCAATGAGGGAAAACCAATAGAACAATTCCATACATGGCCACTGGAGACTCTCATGAGCGACGAGTCCACCCCTACGAGAGCAACAGGGTGCGGGGCCAATTTTTTAACAGGAATGCGAAGCCGTCTCATGAGGATGACGTGAGAGTTTTTGGCCCGAGATCGACTCTTCGTTGTCATTGCTGAGTCGCTGAGAACGATCTGTGTCCAGGAAATACTGGCCAATCGATTGACCGGCGTTTGAGAGAGCCGCATTCAGTTCCATCCCACCCACATACTAGTATGCTTTTCCAGAAATCCACTCCGTTTTAATTGGGCAAGTAGAGTAAAGATCATTGTCACAGATGGTGGTGCTGCGTAGAATCAATACTCCCGCTCGATATTATATGAGCATCATCTTCTGTAAGAATAATTCAGTACAGAGGAAGTTCATGACACAAAGCTATCTAAACCATGTCAAGAAAGTATCTGTATGTGAGGATTGAGTGGACGGCAGTCCATCGGTGTTCATTTATACAGGATGGTAGGAGAGAACCAAAGCAAAGGAATACAAAACGGAGAATGAAAAAAAAAAAAAAAAAAAAAAAAAAAAAAAAAAAAAAAAAAAAAAAAAAAAAAAAAAAAGAAAAAGAAAAAATGAGAGACACTGGAGAGGGCTGACGGTGTGTCTCAAAGAGATCTTTGGGTGGTTCGGAGGTGCAAGAAGTCTAGAAGTACAGAAAGTATATGCAGACCAACGTTCCTGCGGTGCTGCCATGTGTGAATATGGTTCTCTCAGACTCCAGCGGACACCCCTCGACCCATACACCATTCTGTCCCAAAGTTTGGAAATCTTTCCATGAAAGCCTTGAGTGGCAGTGTTAGTGAGAACAAAGGAACTTGGAAACATTCTGATTCGTGACCCACGTAGCAGCACAGATCCAGACATTGCGACCGCACCGGGGCTATTAAGCAGGTTTTCTTGGATCAAGAGGTATATAGCGGTTCATACTTAGTTGGTATAAGGGGCTTCTGTTCAAAACCCAGCCTGAGAAGACGAGGTCGAATTGGATGACTTTTCCGCCAGTTTTGAGTTTCCAGATACTTTTACCGACAGGTTTAAGACTGGGTGGTAACACAACCGAACCGTACCCGACCATATCAAACGTTGAGGCTATTCCCAACACTCACAAGAAAGCAACAGAGAGGAAGTTACCCAGTCGCCAATCAAGCCTTGGAATGCTCCATACAGGGGATCGTTCCAAGTGAATACGAGACTCTCGTCATCGACTTGCGAGAATTTGCGATTGGAAGGCGCACAGACTTGTCCTAACATAATAAGGCGGCGACCAGATGGACGATGACTGACTCGTAGCCGTACTCCAAAACCTTATTCCAACACAATCGCCCTGGTATAACAGTGATTCGTTCGATGCTAGTAGGAGAACCATTTGTTCACATCACCTGGAGGAGAAGGTTTGCTACAGCTGCTCGTTCACTGCGCCGCATGCCGTAACAGGAAGGCGGATGATGCATAAATGAATGGATTGAACTATCTTGGTCCATCCGACAACCTCCAAGCGGGGAAATTGAGGTAATATGCCGACTTAGAAGTCCTGTTGTCTCACCAGGTGGACGGCTTTCCACCCGACTCAGTCGTCTTATGTGTGAGGTGGATTGAGCCATCATGATATCTGCATGACGCAGACTCCGCATCGAAATGTCGGACCCTCCGGCTCGAGACAAACAATATGATCTTTTGTATGTTATGAAAATTTTGTACTCACTGTGAGACGTTACCATATTAACAATAAGCCACTGCTGATATTGGACGATACAAGTCGATGCTGTCCCGTTATGGCTTAAGAATAAGGTATTTAGCCCCTCTGCATCTATGTTTCCTGGAAAATGCGAAGGCGGGTCAATGTGACTGGTACGTACGGCGTATTCTTTCAGATCAGGTTTCTAATCCATGAGTACTTTGTGATCTCTTGTTCTCAACACACCGAGCAGAATTTGTACCTCAAACCAAGGAAAGCTAATCTCATCTATATGTACGGAGTAGGGTGTACGAACTCTAACTTCAAACACCCGATTTGGCAGCGCTCATGTTGGAGGCAATTCCAAGCCATTGAGTATCCAAAAGAGTGTGCGTATCACAGAGCGAAGATAATTATCCGTCCATATGAAGCCTCAAAACCTTATGCTTGGGTGACTGTTGGGAAAGTTCAACTGAAACGCTACCCTGTAAAAAAGCACATGGAACATCCATGTCAAATAACCGAATGAGCCTTGGACCCTTCACGGGTTCTTGTATGGCTGGCTGGTGTTTCCGTAACTTGTGCTAAAAGAAACTACTAGTCAGTGCGCCTTCGTGTGAGTCGCGCTATGCACCTGACTGAGAATAGATTAGATGTATGTAATTTAGGAAAGACGGCCAAATTGGAAAAGGAAGATATAGAAGAGCTTTCTACACATTAAGCTACCCATTGGAGCCTATACTACGTGTAAGTGGGTCCTCATTCAACTGGCGCAATACGAGGCTTTGTTTCATTGGTACTATTTCGCGGAAGGATTCAATTTTAGGCACCGTCAATCTACATGATAATCATTCTAGACCAGCTGTCTTGAGAATAGGTCTTTGTGATTTGATAGCGTGGTCCAGGGCTAAGAGAAGAACTATTAGATTCCCAATCCACGTTCGAATCGGTACTTCAATATATGTGGGAAACCAAGGACATTGAACTCCAGCTCTCAGTCTCTGAGTCCCGGCTAGCAATTGGGCACACTATTCCTGCTCTTCCATGTTGCTGATAGTGAAGCGGTGTGGAAATAACATTGACGTTAGTAAAAGCTCATGTTGAGTGCCATGGTCAGCATCGAAGTTTATCTCAGACTGGGATATTCTCTTACAACAGCCGCAGCCCTCCCATTGTTTATTTCCAGTCAGATCTGTTGCCAATGCATCCGAACCACCCTTATTGGGCCTAATATACTGCCTAAAGAAGACCTAATTCGAACGCAAACTTAGCTAGTAAACGAATGTTTGACATTCAGATGGCTATACCAACACCTCGCACGTCGTAGAACATCGGGATTCGTAGCAGCTACAATGGTGAGTTCACTCATCCTTGATTAAGCTTGTCGAATCGCCAGCAAACCCAAACTGATATACCCCGTACTTGTAAAGCTTACCGGAATCCGAAGGAGACTGAGTTCCAGCATGCTGTGCTATTAGAGGTTGGCACAGTGGTGTTCCAGAATCAGGTTAATTAGATTGCAACTTATTTAGGAATTGGCCCTGGACCATACACCAACTATTCTGGTATTAGCAATAGTTAATCATACTGAGGCGCTTGATATCGGTAGTGATGATAGCAAGGGCAGGACATATCACTCTACCTGATATTCACAGTTTATGGCCGTACAAAGATGGGTATGAAGGGGGCCCGCGGTATGGATCTCCTACAAGAAGTCCTACTTACCGTTCTGATTACTTGAGTTGCCATTTGACACCATTTCCAGAGCCTAGTTCTTCAGTACATTCTGGTTTGCAATAGTTATAAATGTAGGATCAGACGCAATCAATGGATGTGCTAGCCAGGTATCCCATTAGATGGTAAATTTATATATTCTCGAGCATGTCCAGATAATTGTATTGCCTCACTGCTATACGTGATACACTTACATAGCCTCACACAAACACCAGATTCCAGGTGCTACTTCTCCATGGGGACCAAGACGAAGACAATAGCTGCCTTATCGAGTATTCAAGAGTGAATTAACGGCCCCCGATATAGGCCTTCATGTCGGGTTGTTTCAAACTCTTCTCGGCTTTTTATCGGGGTTATTGTCATAAGGGTGGAGCTCTTCCATAGCCGCAGCGGAGGCTTCATCAACCAACACTCGGCTCCACATGCAATGCAGGGCCGTTTTTGCACAGGTAACGATGATATAATATTTTACTCACTGCTCGGGAGATATTCCTCGAAAAAGATTAACGTCCGCATGAATCTTTTGTAGCTCCGAATGGAAATTGATAACATAGAAAGCTGGGCATGTATAGCGGACGGGCATTCCGAACTTGTAGTGTTAAACAGTTAGGAACTATTACGAATGGCGAAACGTGACCTTTTTATCACTGAGACTGAGGTTTTCAATACGTGAAACTCATACATATAGCCCTATAGGGCTACCATTTGCCTTGGGCAGTGTTGATCTGTGCATTCCAAACCAGACTAGAATCTGATATGATCGCCGATACCATACACGCTGAAGAAGACTAGAGTTGAGTTTACTCAAAACCAGGCGTGTCAGGTGGATGGCAGCCCACGTGGAGAATACATCAGAATGCATCACGATCGGTGAAATCTTGCACGTGGATCTGGAACGTGGACCGGTAGAGGAGCCGGGTATTGTCGGCTTAAAGAGTCCGCCGGGTTTTGGGTCCCTACTCCCTAGTGTCTCTCGGGATCCCTCGTAGGCTTTCGGAGCTAGGGTGGGCTGCATAGGGTGGCTGAATGGGGTCAATGTCTTAAAAGCCATTCAACGCCGCTGAACATCCTGTAAGGTTGTCTGTGCAATGACATTGTGTAGACTGACTCAGTATGCCAGTCTGCTCGTACAGTTAGATTTCAGTGAGTATCTGAGCTTGACAGGGAAAGTCAACTCCGTGGAATGACCTAGACCATGTGCTTTTAAGTTGGTTGAGAAGGGGGGAAAAAAAAAGGAAAGAAAAGAAAAACACCCCACTATCAGGATTCAGGTGGTTTATTTTAGTTGGCTTTCGGACACTTTCCGTGCGCTTAATCTTATCAATCAACGGGTTCCTCTACCCTAGAACGAATCAGTGGAGCCAATTCTCACACTAAGTTTAACTTAGGTGTTTCTCAAAACATTTAGGGCCAATTACTCTCCCTTATGTTTCTAGATTAACACACCGGGGAAATACCGTCTTAGCCATTCTTACCAAGCCCACTAATATCTAATCTGATAAACTTGTCCACCGGGTTTTGGCCGCTCGCTGCCACGCCACATTCCGGGACTTCTAGATCTTCGAAATAAATACTTAGTCGATTCGTCATGCGTCCCTCGTCGTCTGGTCGATTCCTCTACGTCCAGAGCATCACTGGAGTTATTCTGGCTCTCGACCCAAAGCAGAGAACCACATTTTAGCTGAAAAAAAAGCTGGAATATTACCATGGAGGCTCCTGAGAAGCCGATCGCTACGGCTACAGTTGACGAACCTGTTAAACCCTCGTCACCGGCTCAGGACCAGCAAACCGACGACAATGGAGATGGAAAACAGCCACCACCGCTGATGGCTAAGTTGATCGCCGTCTTGCTCATCTCCTGTATTAGCTTTGGCTCGTCATGGAGCTCTGGCGTAACAGGTGCTATGAAAAGCACCATCAAGAAGGTATGTACCTTGCCCACATCACTTGTCGACACAAACATGACCTGACTTCTATCAATGCAGAAAATGCACATCTCGAATACCCAGTTTTCTCTCCTCGAAGCAAGCGAAGACTTCATGGTGACTCTGCTCATGCTGGGTAGCGGCATTGTCACTGACCGAGTGGGAGGTGCCGGTGAGTAGAGTTATGCTTGACCTAGGGGAACGAGCGCGAACTAATATCCCGTTTGATCAACTTAGAAATGATTATCTACGGTAATGTCGTCTACACGATCGGGTCCATTCTAGTTGCCGCCGCGACTACTGTTCGGTCGTTTAATTTCATGGTCGGAGGAAGAGTTATTCTGGCGCTGGGCGATATCGCAACGCAAGTTGCGCAATACAAAATGTTCTCGTCGTGGTTTCCCCCTAGCAACGGCTTTGCTTCAACGCTTGGACTTGAACTAGCCATGCGGAAGGTAAATCTCTCATCACTTTCTGTACAATAGAGATTCAGAAAAAGGGCTAAACTGACTTATTTAGATTGGCGGCTTTGTTGGCAAATCGACAGCAAATCCAATTGCTAAAGTAAGTATTGTCCCCTAATTATATTTAAAGCTTTATTGACCCATGAAACAGAACACCGGCAATTTTGCCTGGGTATATTGGACGTCAGTGTTTATGAACCTGTTCACCAATGCCGCAACCGTTGTTTTCTGGCTCTACAGCCGCTATTGCAATCGACACTACCAGGGTCGGCAGGACAAGGCAACACGAGAAGTTCTGACTGAGAAGAACAAAAAGTTCGAGCTCAAGAAGATTTTTCAACTGCCGTGGATGTTTTGGTGTATTCTGGCGTTCTCGTTGTTCCAAACCAGTGCTGCCCTCGTCTTCAGTCAGAATGCAACCGAACTCGCGGAGAAACGGTTCAACGTCGACTCGATCAAGGCTGGTTGGTACAGTGCCTTATCGCAGTACTCTGGTAAGTAATCTCAGGCATTTCTACCTACCCGTGCTAATCTTCTATAGGATTCTTTCTAGTGCCTTGTTTGGGTGCATTCATCGACATTGCTGGAAATCGGGCAACTGTTAGTAAGTACAAATAGTTGACTACATCTTACCGCCCACAAAGCTCACTATGAACCAGTGTGTGTTTGCGGAGCCGGTATGCTTCTATGCATGACGTTAGTGAACTTTGCCTCGTCCGAAGCAGGTACTGGCGCAGCGTTTGGCATATATGCCATTGCATCTGCCTTGGGCCCAACCACCATTATCGACGGAATCCGTACCTCTCTTTGGCACCAATCTGTGTTTGGATCTGCATACGCAATTAAAGTGACCATGAATAATGCGTACGTTTGTTATAATCCGTATCAACGAGAACTGGACTGACCCGCTGGCAGAATGAATATCATCGTGCGAATAATCACGGGGGCACTCCAAGACGCAGACAATGACTCGTACCGCCGGGCGGTTCGCGTATATCTTTTTCTAGCAGTGTGCAGCGTGGTAGTTGGACTGGCTATTTTTATTGGAGCCACGTTGACCGATGAACTGGGCCTTTTGCAATGGACTCGGAAGAAGAGGCTTACCTACGGCCCTGAGATTATCGAGCGTATGAGGGAACGCAGTTTAGTAACACATGCACGTCGCAGCTGGTGGATCTCGCTATGTTGCTTCGGCGCCCTAGTCCTTCTTATATTAGGAAGTTGGGCAGCATATATCTGGGGAGCAGTTACAGGCAACAATTCTTAGTTTATACTTAATGAACAAAGTAGCTGTTCTTGTTTCATGATGAGACAAATTACATTGACATGGAAACATTAAACCTCTACGCGAAGACTGTGTATGTTATGAGTTCTGAATGCTCATTATCAACCAGCCATCCATGTTATTGATCAGAATGGTGAAGGATGCCTGAGGATGAAGGATTTCAAAAAGAGGTAACTTCTGATTGGGTCCATGTCACGGGGCTATGGCCAATCACATGAGAGGAAGGCCGATAGGGTTTCGGATGTGGAGGAATGCCGCCGGGCTGTTTAATGTTTGTTAGCCAACATGATCGCCCCATCGCGCTTCCACTGTTATAACTTATCTCCCTCGTAATATCTTCATTGTGCGTGATCGGCTGAACCACATCTTCCTCGGCTACTATTGGACTAATCCCTCAGGGACTACAGGTAATTGTTCATTTTAAATATCATCGATCCAGAAGGCTCCATGCTTTTAGACGCGGGTTCGCTCCCCCGGTCTATCCATACTGCGTATCCCCGAAAGACTCAGTCCACGCCTTCGCAGATATCTGATCAAATCGGTTACTTTACAAATCACCAATCATGATCCGAAGCAAACCCGCTGAGGCACAGAACACAGCAAGTGTGGAGCACCGAAACTTAAACGGTCTATGGTCATGTCGCTTTTGCTTCTCCGATTTTCAGCGATACGATCATCTCAAACGCCATATAGGTACACGTACGTGACCCCACCTTCACTTTCCCTAGCTACGTAGCTGGCTAAACGTAAAAAGACACATCAGAAAGACCTTATCAATGTGAGTTTTGTGGCTCGCCATATAAACGAGGGTACGTTCTTGGCTCTCGCCGCATTTAGGGCTTTTAGGTAAACTCTAGCGATGCTGACGCAGAATACTCCACAGGGATGCCTTGCGGCGCCACTGGAAGTCATGTTCCGCTCGGATAGAATCTGGCCAGTGTATCCCAGAACCACGCCATGGTGGCAAAGAAAAGCACGCGTGCGATGGCTGTGCAAAAGCAAAAAAGTCATGTAGTGGAGAGCTTCCGTGCTCGGAGTGTTGCATCCGCAGTCGAATATGCACTTACCAGCGCCTCCATCAAGGTGAGGAAGTGACCTTGCAAGGTGGATCCAGCGACTCGAGTCAGGAACAAAGCCAACCGAGCGACAACCATAGCGTGAACCATTCGACCTGGGACCTTGGGCTCCAGACGTTCTATCCAGGCAGAGACGCTTGGTTTGAAGCCTACGGCCGTTTAGTTAGCTCAGGGAGAGTATCATCTATGCCGAACCCTGGACGGCTTCAATAGCGTACGTTGCTTACGAACAATGCTTGGGTTTGCCCGAGAGAACAGGGTTATTCGAATCTTACACAAACGTGACAACTATATTTAAGGCCAATTCGCCGAGGTAAACCAAAAGTTCATGCCTAGAAAGGATGTACGTTGCGTCTTGCTCGGCGCCTTTCAATTCTTGTAGTTATCCCTGTGTTTATTGTCATGCCAATGAACTCTGCAAGCATTGATCTTTTCGGCGCCTTTTCCTTTCTTCTTTTCTTGGAATCTGCAGTGATGCCATGTGAACTCCTCAACAATGGCATTTGCAATGTAATGACTTATTAGGATTACGGGTGTTCGTGCTTCCAAGAAACCTCGGGGGAATGGGGTGTGGATACGATCGTCACATCTCCACACTCTTGACCTGACGGATTACCTCCACAACTAACGCCGGAGAACACTACCACGGCATTAGCCGATTGAATATTAATCATTTATTGCAAATCCTTGGAGGCCATTGAATATATAAGGATTGGTTCTTGACCTGCCAATATCTTCTCCTGGCAAGGTTCCTCCCTATACTTGAATTTCAATCCTCTTCTTACTCATATCTGCACAAAATAAAGGAAGGAAGGAAAGAAAAAGATGACTATTGCAACGGGTATTACAGAGTCCCAAGTTCACTTTAACAATTGGCCCAATGATCGAGGCGTAAGTAGTAGTGATACTGTTTGCACTGTTCATATCCATGCTGACCATAGGCAGTTTGATGCCAACTACGAGGAGAGGACTCCTGTAGAGCTCACTGTCACCGGCTGCATTCCCTCTTATGCTGCGGGTGTGCTCTATCGCACGGGACCAGGCAAATATAAGGTTGACAGGGAGAACGGGGAGACGTTTCAAGTATCGCACTGGTTCGATGGCTTCAGCGAAACTCATCGATTCAAACTTGTTGCGTCAGACACCACTCACTCTTCCCTGAAAGTCTTCTACAATTCCCGTTTCTCGACGGACTTCTTGATTGAGGAAGCGAGAAAGACTGGCCGCCTTGGGAAAATCAGCTTTGGTCAGAAGCGCGATCCTTGCAAGACAGTATACCAGAAGGCCCAGAGCGAATTTAACCCTGATCCCTCCTCAGCCAACGTCGGCGTGACACTCTCCGTCAACATGCCAGGACTCGATAAAGCCATGAAGGAAAGCGATCAGAGTAGCGGGCGCTGGACCAATTCTTCAGGGATGGAAACTCTGTATGCAAAGACAGATTCCGCCTTTTACAAAAAGATCGACCCGGACACCCTTGAACCTGTCGGTTTGGCTTCACAAAAGGATCTACATCCTGACCTAGATGGGCTTATGTCGGCATCCCACGCACGTTCTGATCCGATAACTGGAGATGTTTATAATTTCAATCTCGCTTTTGGTAAATCTTCTACCTACCGCGTCTTCCATGTGTCCGCCTCAACGGGGAAAACTACAATTCTTGCTACGTTCGAGGGAACACCTGCATATCTCCATTCTTTGTTTCTCTCAAAGGACTATGTTATTCTGTGTGTGTGGAACTCTCACATCAATCCTACTATGCTCGAGAAAGGCAGCTTCCTGCAAGCCATCCAATCATTCGATGCATCCCAGCCTACCAAGTGGTATGTGGTGGACCGTACCCAAGGCCAAGGGCTCGTCGCTACATACGAGAGCCCTCCGTTCTTCTGTTTCCATACGGTCAATGCCTGGCAAGAACCGTCAGCAAGTGGCAGCGGAGTGGACATTGTAGCAGAACTCGTTAGATTCGATACCACCGATACGTTGCATACTCTATACTATGAGAAGCTTGTTTCCTCATCGGCCGAAGCGAAAGCTCATGCCCAACTAAAGAAAGACACTTCCCGCTCGGAATTCGCCCGTTTCCGTCTTTCAGATATCCCCACCAGCCCTAGCACCGAGGTTAAAACTGCGGCAGCCGAGTGGATGTCCTGCAAAGCCTTTTCTCCCGAGTTGCCAACTATGAATCCAAAGCTGGTCACGCAGAAGCATCGATACACATACGCCATTACAGACCGCGGCGAATCCACCTTCTTCGACGGAATAATCAAATTCGACAGCCAAACCAAGGAGACGCTTCTGTGGAATCACCACGCCCAATCCCCCGGAGAGCCGATTTTTGTTCCCCGTCCGGACGGCTTAGAAGAAGACGACGGGGTCCTCCTCAGCGTGGTTCTAGATGGGTACTCAGGTAAAAGCTATCTGCTTTGCCTTGATGCTCATACATTGAAAGAACTGGGCAGAGCGCATGTTAACGGACCGGTTGGATTTGGATTCCATGGCCAGCATATTCCTCTTAATGGAGCGCCAACTGGTGATTACTAGCCTCATTTAACCTTATTCTTTGTTTTGTTCGTTTTTGTTTTTGGTTTATTCTCGCTTGGGGTGGAAGGCTGGATGTCCACTGTCCGCTCGTTTATATGATGGTTTTGCGTTTATCAATGGAGAGCCTGGTATTTACATTGTGAAAATTCACTTTCTCTCCATGTAATTCCTAGGTTTCGATTGTATCTATCTCTGAAGTGCTGTGTAGGTACGCTCAGCTTGTATGATGGAGAGACCTTCAGCATTTTATCTCAGAAGTAAATTGCTCTTGATTCTAAGAGAGAGTGAGCGTCTATCACGCAAGACTCCGGTTATCAACAAGTATAATTCGCATGTATGAGGAAGTTATTAATATCAACAGAAATAGTGGCAACGGCCTCCCATTTAGAACAATGCACTGATATAGCATTAGATTAGGATTATTTTTATATTCCTCCGTATCTATGTGTCCCCACCCAGATAGCTTAGATGTGTTATTACTTATTAGCCTCCATCCACCACAAACCAGATCATCATCTAGCTCAGTTCCCACTTGCAGTCCGAAGCCTCAACATCCTCACCATCATTGGTTGGGAATCCCTTGTACAGACAGTATCCATCCTCCTTGTGGAAGTTTGCAATCGCATCCTGGCCGTCGCCACTGAGGACCCATTGCACAAAGTCCCGCGCCAGTTCCTTGTTATCCGAGTCCTTGGAGGTGATGATATCGGCTGGGTTGAGCAGCTCCTCGTACTCATCGCCGCGCTTGTAGATCTCGAGCTGGTCCGCAAGATCCTTGTCCGTGTTGCTGAGCGTGAGGTACGTCCCACGATCGGTGACTGTGTATTCCCCGAGCTTGATGGCGGCAGTCAAGGCCTGGATCGGGTAGTCCATATACTGGTGGTACCATTTGGAGTAGGCGATGGCCCAAGGAACCTTCGGCAAACCACATAATCAGCTTCCTCCATCACGAACCCC